CAAAAATGTTCGGAGAAGGATGTGGGTCCCGAAGTGAAATAGGTTGAGAAACCCTGCTCTAAGAAACTGATAACATCACGAGTCAGAGCTTCAACGTCCAAATAATAGCAAAAGCAAACAACAAATGCTACTAGCAAGTGGCTCACAATAGTGTGCTGTAATACTACTGAAAAATCACAGATGGAAATGTGTATCCATTGTGTTCACGTCTTTCTCATCACCTCACACATGAACTCCACTCTTTAAAGACATCATTTTAAGTTAAAAGCCTTTCAACATTTACATGCGGCGCAGCACATTAATATTAGATCCAAAGGTGTGGACCAATCATAACAACTCGGATGCGGGGCAAGCATTGTGAGCTTCTGTTTACAGTAGAAAGTTTACATGAATACTGTTATTTAACCTAGAGGAGGTTAATTGACTCCATTTATGTCATGTATGTTTCTGTCCCTTGGTCTTGTTAAAATCCAACCCGCTCTTTAAGATCTCAAAACTTCTGGTAGAACCCAGAATAGCAAAGTCTACTGAAGGAGGTCGAGCCTTCTCATTTATGGCTCCTAAACTTTGGAATAGCCTTTCTGATAATGTCTGAGGCTAAGACACACTCTCTCAGTTGAAAACTAGATTAAAAGACTTATCTTTTTACTACAGAGTAGACACATTGCATCGAATAACAGTATGATGCATGACTGTGCTCCATGCAGGTAAGTGGGCATCACAACCAACTGTAGGACACACTCCTCCTGTCTTAATGCACCAAATACTCATATGGTTTACATATTTGTTTCTATAGCTACTATTTTCATTTATATCACTTCATTTCTTGATTGATTTTTAACATCTCTTGTTATGAACAGCAGCCATGCAAATTACCACCTGGAGATACTTATCCTGAGCTCTCCAGATGTGCCATCAAAAATGACATTATAATGAAAGTCAATAGGCCAAAAACAGCCACAAACATAACAAATCGGTAGTCAATTTGTAGATTTTATTGTTGAGTTTTATTTATTATTTTTAAATCATTCTCCCAAAATAAGCATCAATATAAGATTTGTCACCAAAAATCACTCCATTTGCGGAAACACAGAGAAAGCTGTGGCCAAATTAAGACTCAAAATCACCCCAGAGTGGATAAAAAAATCCCCAACAGCACATAGAGTAAGTGTTAAAAAAAAAAAAACACTCCCGAGTGCTGCATTCCTCATTTTCAGATGATTTCTAAATAACAAAAATAACTTAATTCAATAGTTTCTTCTCCTCAGTGTCAGTATAGGGGACACGCTCACAAAGGTGCTATTTATGTGTGTCGGGTTAAGCCCCGGTCAGATCACATGAATTTGTCACTATTTTGGCAGAAAACAGATTTCCTTGATGTAGGGTGTTAGGGGGATTCACTAATGACAAATGGGTATCGTGACACAAGATTCTTCTCATGTAATGTGGCATACTGTAGTTCACGACAACCAATACCATGCCTACGACACCTCACGACACCATCACAGAAAGTCTAGCTTGTTTAATCTGTTTCTCGTTCTTCACAGTAGAGATCTGCACAGGACTACATTTTGAATTCCGCTCCCGCCTGGTTTTAGTTCGAACCAGACCGCTCCGGCTTATATTCAGCATTTGTTGTCCTGCAGCCTGACCCACCCCGTTTTCTACCCGCCACGCCCGATCGCGCTTACGGGATTACCTCCAGGATTATCCCCCAGAGTCCTATAACAAGCTTTCTGTATAAACACACACACAGTAAGTGAAACACAGACAGCATCACGCTCTCTTATTCACACACATACACACTCACATAGACAGCAGCAAGCTCTCGCTCTCATTCACACACACACACACACACACACACACACACAAACACGACAACAATCGAGCTAAACACAGTATCACGCTCTCTCATTCACACACATACATATGCGTGCTCGCTCGCTCGGGAGTCGAGAGCGATATTGTTAGACCGCCCGCTCCCGTTCAAATTACACCAGTTACCAACTGCTCCCGCACTTTATTTGGATATTTATTCCCGCACCGCAAGAAATCTGGTTGGGTTCCGCGCTTTCGTAGTACAGCTGTGGGAAAGCAAACCTCTACCTCACAGTAAGTTCGATCAAGTGGGTGATACTGTGCAATGAGAGCACATCACTTCTCGGTTTTAACAGTGGATGCTGCCGTTAATGCAGGTATTCAAAAAAATAGGCTGCATATTTATGAGTGGGTCACTGGTGGATAAGATCAATCCTTGGTTATAACTAGCAATAAAAAATTGCTGTAAATAGCAAATTTATCTGACAGACTGACACAAATATGCAGACATCTCCATTCTCACAACAAGTTTCTGAGTTCTCTCATCTTTCCAACAAAGTTTGTTCTTCCCAGGTATTCTGGTAACATGTTCAGTGCAGCGAATACATTGCAAAAGCATTTTTTGCTTATTCAAATTTGTCATTAACATTGAATACGAGCTTCTCTGAAACTTTAAATATTTCACTTTAATTTTATTTAGTCTAGATTATTATTTTATTTAACAAACCAACACAATCTCACGGCAATTCGTGTTTTGGCTCATATAGCGGACTTGTTTCGCATCACCTCAAATGTTATTCGTTATTCTTGTTTATAGATAACTGACCAATACATTAAAATTAGGAGGAAAATTATAGCAAGTCCTTAGGTGGATAGGATTTAATGAATGCTTCACTGTGATTGTGTCACAACTCTCAGTTATATATTTGCTACTTTTAAATATGTCATTATTTTAAAGATTAAGCCTTAAGCATCTGATTTTTTCTTGATGCTGCTTATTTGCTTTCGTTTTCTCGTTTCACTCGCGGCAAGTTCAGGCGAAAGTGTTTATTAAGAGACCCACAGCGATAAAATATACATTTAGATAAAAAAAAAAAAAAAATCTTAATATTAAAAAGGAATCATAAGTTTGATGCCATCCATGTTGCAACGAATGTCCTTAAATAATGTAGTTAGTTGTTGGCAAGCATCAGTGTTTATTGAGATTGAAATAAGATTAAAAAAAGTGAAGTTGAAATAATAAATAGCATTCTAGTAACACTTGTGACTGCTTTGAGAAATAACGCGTATCGTAGACTTCACGGGATGACTGATCGTTGTTGTGATTGGGATTGATACAAACAACTGAAGGTAAGATCCAAATGCAGGTTTATTCGAAGGTCAGGCAAGCAATGGTCAAAACAGGTATGAACAGGCATATGCGGACAAATCCTGAGTCGAAGTCAGTAAACAGGCAAAAGGTCGAAAGGCAGGCGGCTACACAGGATAATTAGAAAACAAAGCTAGGTACAGACACGGAGAAACAAGATCGGGAGAAACGCGTAGAAATGTCACCAAACAGTAGACAAGACTCGGCAAAGTGAATGAGTGTGTGTGCTGCTTAAATACTGTGTGAAATCTCAGTCTGTGACAGGTTACAGCTGGTGATGTAATCAGGAAGATGAGTGACCAGGCGTGCGTGATTGGAAGAAGTGCATGTATGAAAATGTAGTCCTGGGGAATGCGGAAGTGAAGTTCATGATGAAAGAGGAAACCAGCGATCTCCAGAGAATGATCGCTGGTTATCGTAACAATCGTGAAGTCATGTGTAGTCTAGCACATTTGTACCTCACGGCAAGTCAAGATTTTATCAATAACAAAAAAAAAAAAAAAAAAAAATCACCTAATCTGACATAGTGACTTTCGTAACCAACAATAAAAATTGTGTGATCTGACCAAAAGCAATCTCACGGTAATTCATAACTTTTTTATTTTGTGGCTAATTCGTAGGAATTTGTATGATCTAATTCATACAATTTAGTACAATTTGCTCATTCCCCAATGACAGTTGGGGTTAGGGGTGGGGTTTGGTGCCATGCCTCCTTTTTAAAATCGTACATTTTTCGAACGAATCAGCCACTAAACTGACAAAACATAAAATACATACGTTTCCCTGTTAGATCAGGCTGGATCTGACCGGGGCTTGACTTAATAAACTTCAAATGTGCATGTGCTTTATTTAAAGTTTAAGTCTCACACGGGTGAATGTGTGCAATATACAATAATACAATATACACTGAGGAGAAGAAACTGTTGACTATTTTTGTTTTATGTGGGCACAAATGTATTCTTGTCGCTTCATTATTCCAATTGAACCACTGAAGGGAAATGGCATGCTTTAAAAATGATTTTGAAATTACTTTTCTGGACACTATGTGTATATGGAGGATGAGAAAGCTCTCGGAGTTTACCTAAAAATGTCTCAATATTGTGTTCTGAAGGTGTATTTTGGTGAGTATTTATTGACACAATTGTCATTTTCGGGTGAACTAAACCGTTAAGACAGTTATTTTTCTTGTGTCAGTGCAGCCAACTGTGTGTCTGGGGTGAACTTCTCCTTTAAGGACAAGTGTAGTAAATATTTCAGCGTTCACACACACACAAAAAATCCAGACGATTTCCCCTTAAATCCGACCACAAATCCATGCAGAAATATGCTCTTTTCCTTCTTTCTGACAGGTTTTGCCCGCAGGCAGACACACGGAGCGACGGGGGAATAAACAGTAAGTCAAATGTCAGGACTTCAGGTCTCCACAGAAACTGAAAAAAAGGGCTCTGTTTTTAGACCAGCGCCCCAATGGAAGTGGACTATATAGTGGACGATCCATTGATCCGTCGTGCTGTGTGGTTTCAGACTGGCGGACTGTCGCACCGAGACCTGATAGATGAAAATCAACGTGTTTGGATTCTTTAAATAAGGAGCTTGATGGAGCGCTGGCTAAAACACAATCCAATAAAAGCCACAAGACCGCAGAAACACACTTCGAGCCTGTCGCGACACATTTGGGTTTATCTGGAAAGGAATACAATTGATTCAAGCCAGCAGGAAGCTGCATTCGCATATTTTGTGCTTCATTTTAAAAAATTTTTTTAAAGAGAAACCGCCAATGGCAAAAAAATGTAATACAATATATAAATAAATGTAATATTGTTAATCACAATAAATATTAAATATTACATTTGAAATGAAATCAGCATTCAGATTCCAATTTTTGCTTTAA